CCTAGAATCTTCCGAAGCTTGATTATACGCTTCCGTCGCACATCTTTTTCAGATGAGGACAGATTGCCAGTAACATCAAGCTTGATGGATGAGAGGTCGTACACTTGAGGAGGAAAAAATGTGGCGTTGAGCGATGTTGGTCTCGATTTGTGGTCGGAATGTGAACATGGAAGCGGCGAATTAGAGTGGAGGACCTGTTCATCCGCATGAGTGAAATGCGATGAGAAATGAAAATTGAGTTTGACCTCGCCGGTCGCCTTCTCTTCAAAGACAGAAAATGTCCCCGAAGAAGATGGGGAGTGTGAATTGGTCGGTATGCGGGGAAGTGATGGTCGTGGAGGAGGCGTCGGACGTAGGATATATGATTTAGAAACTAGGCGTTCCACCTCAAGTGCCGTTTTGGATTGTACCAGCTTTAATCTTCTGTCGCTCTGCGGCAGAGGTTTTGTCTCCAAAGAGCCAGAGGAGAGGTACATGATGCGCCAAGTTATGGAGGGGAAGAGGGCTCGTTCAGTTGAGAGACAGATGAGGAGTGCGAAGAGTTGATTCGAGGGGGTCTGAGTGGTATGGATATATGTACATACCCTGATCCGACGTTTGACCAAGATTTTTCCTGAAACCAGTGACTTCAGGTGACTTCTCAAGTTGCTAATCCCATGGGTCGTCAAGGCACACTTTTGATATTCAAGAAACTTGCCTTTCTTGGTTCAACAGGTTAGAAATCAAACGATTTCGAATCATCGGTATTCATAATTATACATACTTGTCGTCAGGGGATCAGGATTCTCCGGCAAGCCGCTTCCAATAACCCTGCGCGGAACTAGTTCCTGTTCGTTTCCGTAAGTCAAAGGACGAAAATCTGGTAGTGAAAAAGGGAGTTTTGATCGTCTTACTATTGCTTTCCTGTCATTTAGTCGTCAATGGGATATTTTAGAGGTGGACATCTGTGCAAAGGTGAGGGCAATGGTCTAGACGGGGCGGACTAACCCGGACGGCGGCATCGAATGATACTGCGGGGAGCGGGGAGAAACCTGGAGAAAGCTGAGAGATTACTTAGTCCGGGGAGACACGGGTCATGTGGGGGCCCTTTTGCATCCGTCACCCCATGTCTTTCTGATTTGTTGCGCTAATCATATCACGCAGAAGAGACTAGAAGGGCCGCCAAAGACCACGACGTTTCGTGAGGTTCATTTGATTATCATTGAGAACGCCAACTTGAAGCACAGCGGGTCGTTGCTCATCCTAGCGTGAACTAAACTTCAAAAACTCCGTGCGGAGGGAGGGCAAGGGATGTCGGATGAGATCTCAACTTCAAGTTTTTGACGCCTCGGGCTCAAGAGGGTGACTGTTAGAATAGAATGAGTAAATGGCTTGCCTGGATGCCCATGTGTCATTATGTAGGTGTCATTTGGGCGTCGATGGCGAACTTCGAACTTCGAAGGGAGCGCAAAGGGAGCGTTGACTAAAATGTTTGTTCTTGTTCCAGCGTCACGGGCGTTCCGAGTCCGAGTGCTTGTCACAAACGTCAGACTGCAGCCGACTGAGCTGAGGGTGCTGAGTGCTGAAGGCCTCACGCGGACGTCCGACGATGACACTTTTCGTTCGGAGACAAAACTACTTCAGCGACATGTTACAGAGCATCCTATCATAAATTGGGTATCAAAAACAAGACATTGTGCCAACGCTCGCTCTACTTTTTTTTTATAGATGTGCGCCTCCACGGGAAAATCCGATCCAAAAGTCGGGGACGACGACTGGCAAGTTCTGGAGGCCAGCTGGGTATTGCAGCAGTCCCCCGCCGAGCAAGCTTGATTTGTGTGTGACGGTGACGGAAGGATCGCAAGAATGTGACAATCCACAGTTCCCTCTTGCTTGCAACACGAGAACGTAACTTCCAATCACTCAAGCGTACACAAATTTCTTCAGAACGATCCATGACTTCATCCATCGTCGGTCTCTCCTTTGGAGTCTCCTTGCACATATCACCGACGAGACGTCGCATGAAACCAAATCCTTTCATGGGTTTCGTGAATTCGTCACCCTAAAAGAGCGAGGTTCAACCTGAAATAACGCTGGTAAATCAACGGACGTACCTCCAGGAATTCGCATTGTATCATGTGTCCCAGACAATAGACATCGACGGCGAATGGATCACACAGATCATCCTCAGCAAATTCTGGAATTGACTTATCACCCGCACCCCACCTCGGGTGCTCCTGGCGTTCTTCAAGTGGCACCGACAGGTCGTATTTTTTTGCGTGGCCAAAATCTAAAATAGTACCTCACAGGCGCCAACGCACGAGTGCTATGTGAGGGTGTGGATCGAAAGTCACGCGCTCGCCGTGTCTTCAAGGGATGTGGAAGTACCGAATATAGGCCAGTTGTGTCCATTAGGATGTTATTGTACTTGACATCTCTGAGAAAGTTTGAGCTCGTCATTTCTTCTGGATAGCCAATACTAACCGGTGAGCTACACCATTGGAGTGCATATATTGAAGTCCCTAGTTAACATGGAGTTAGGCTCAAAACAGCGACTTGATAATGATGATACCTCAAAGACTTGATGGAAGAAGTCAACAACTTCCCCAACTGTGTTGAACTTTGGCTCTTTCCAACTCTGGAGCAAGGGCATTACTAACAACTGTACGTCCTCCTCATCCGGCACGCCAAGAACGGTGGTTGGTATGCAGCGGTTTTTCGGATGAAAGGTGAGGCTCGGCAGAAAACAAAAGCGCGATCTCTGCCTCAGCGGTCCCAGAAGATGGGGCGAACTTCTTGAACATGACATGGTTTCCGTCATTGGTCCGCGTCGCGTCTAGCATATTTAA